CTCAGTGCCTCCTCTTCCTATCTGTCGTTGGAGATATGCTACGTCTGAAAAATTTCCTGCTATCACACTAAAATGAGAAGGAGCTCCATCGTGCATAAACCAATAGTGATTTCGGAGACCAATGGGATTATCTTCTATAAGTTGGGGAAGCTCGTGTTCCAAAAAATGTAGGTAAGCATCTCCATTCAGACGTAAAGGGAGAAAATAGGTCTCAATTAAATAATCCCCAATTATGCCTACCCATACATTAAAAGATAATCTGTTTTGGAAATAAGTTTGCGTTATCGCATGTGTCATCTTCCGCCCTCATGTGGTTGTTATGGAAGTTCATGATACCATTTCTTGAAAAATTAGCCTCATTAGTGAAGAGGATTTTCGATAAAATTCCGGATGTTATTCGATTTTTCTTTGAAGCCGTTGAGCAGATTCGATACGTGGTTGGAAATCACGTAGTGTAAGTGCCTGGATACGCTGAATATGATGAGGATATAATTGTTGTTCCTTTAAAATTCTGTAAACTGTCATGTGACTCGAATTTAAAGTTTGACTAATTTTTCTTGTACTTGTCTCTGGATGTTCACTAATTTCTTTGAGAACCGCCTCCTCGAATTCTACAGTTCTTGCAGAACTGCAGAATATGTTGCAAAGATTCCAGATTCGGAAAGTCGCCGGAAAAGATACGCAAATGTCACTGCACAAGGAGTCACGCGTTGAGGATACCTTTCCTGATAGATTCGTCTGGCCTCGCTTGAATTTCCGTTAGTCAAGCCGTATGCAAAAACCATATCAGCCATTTCAGTATTCGTAAAGTCGGGCATGGTACCAAAAAATCACTTTATAAACTCCGAACTGTGAATTGGTCAATTAATAGTTAAAAATGTGACAACGAACTTCTATTTTCATGAACAAACTCTCATAGCCTACTTAATTTAATTAACTCAATTTGCAAGCGGAGAGTGATAAAAATTAATGAAATCGAATTTGGCTATGAAGTAATATGCATCGATTTAGAAACTTGTAAATATCGTTGTTGAGGAGGTGTACCTTTTTTACTTGGACAAGGTGTGGGAATTAGGTTTTGTCATGAAAAGTACCAAAAGTTTACTGTCAAAAAAGTTAGGGCAATTCGAAATAAATAATGACAGCGTACGCAGCTTCCTCTAGATGTTAAATTGTTTAAAGATAGTTCTGTTCGAGTTCGAGGTAATGAAAATTACTTTTTCAGTAAAATCAACATGAAGTGAAGTAAATGTTGTCCAATAAAATCTGTTAGAACAAGTGCAGAAAATATCACTTGTTTGTCCTTCCATGCGGTCCGAAAGCCTCAGTGCAGGTACTTCAGGTAAATTTGCCTATATTTGGGTTACATCAGGTAATATTCTTTGTGTTGGATCTTCTCTAGGTGTAGTGTTCCGAAGTGTGTGTATTGTTTTGTGTAATATATTGAATGTTAGGTCTTGTGTTTTGATTTGTATTTGTTCCTCAATGATTGAATTATGGCTGTTGAATTTATGGATGTTTAAGTTTTCCCAGATATCAATACGGTTTGCCTTATTGACTTATTTTATGAGTTTTATGTTCTCTGATGAGGGGAAATTATGTTTGTTTTGTATGGCGTATGTTGCGAGGTTTGATTTATTTATTATTGAGTTCATGTATGTTTTTTTGTGCTCGTCGTACCTTTGGATCAGTTTTTTCTTGGTTTGGCCGGTATAGAATTTGTTGCAGTCCGAGCATTGTATGCTGTACACTCCGTTTAGGTTTTTGTCTTCTTCTTTTTCATAGCTGTTTATTTTTTGTGTTATTTTCGTGTTTGGCTTGTATGTGGTGTTGATGTTCAGGGGTTTGAAAATGTTTTTTGGTTTGGTGACCAACGTACGTAAATGCTGTACATCGTTGTGTTGTTTTATTTGTTGGAGTAGTTTGATTCTTGTTCTGTATTTTCTGTTTGATTCTTTTATCTAATTTATCTATTGTCTTTTGGGTATCCGTTTTGGTTCGCTATTTGGTATGTGATTTTCCATTCCTTGTTCCGGGCTTCATTGCTGAGTAATATCCTTAATATTCTGTATATGAATGGCTGCCTATAAAGCATTCACCAAAAAACTAACAAACATATTCAAACCCCCTAACATCAACATCACATACAAGCCAAACACGAAAATAACACAAAAAATAAACAGCTATGAAAAAAGAAGAGGACAAAAACCTAAACGGGGTGTACAGCATACAATGCTCGGACTGCAACAAATTCTATATCGGCCAAACCGAGAACCACAAAAAGGCATACAGAGACCGAATAATATATAAATTAAATCTCGCAACACACGCCATACAAAACAAACAATTTCCCCTCATCAGAGAACATAAAACTCATAAAACAAGTCAACAAGGGAAATCGTATGGACATCTGGGAAAACTTAATCATCTATAAATTCACATATCAAGGAACAAATACAAATCAAAACACAGCAAGACTTAACATTCAATATATTACACAAAAAAATACACACTCCTAGAAACACTAAACCTAGAGAAAAAATCCAACAAAAAGAATATTACCTGATGTAACCTAAATACAGGTCAATTTAACTTTTGAAACCAAGTTACATCACGACGTTTCGATTGGCGTGTCTTTACTGCTTTTGTTTGGCGAAATACTTGTTCTAGTTTCATAAAACTGTTCAGTGAAAATCTCGCAAAAAAGTTTTTCATAAATAAGCAATGGATTTTCTGCCGATTCAATCACTTATCAACATATTCATGACAGAAAGCTATGAGCTATAAATTAAAAAAGAAGGAACTGATTTATTCAAGAAAAACTTCATTGTGAGACTTTACTGAACAGTTTTCAAAACCGTGTTCCACTATATTTAAGAGTTACCCAGTAAAATTCTTATTGGATTTTCATCAAGTAAGTCATGGAAGTAAGTCACGAAAATTTGTAATTCAATTGGAAAGGAGGGATACTGAAAACAGGCCAAAGATTATCACAAAGCATTGAAAGAAAAATAGAAATCGCAACACGCAAGGGTTTATTGTGGCTCACACCTATTCTCACTCGGCCAAACAAACCCAGCTTCTTAATGAAGACGATTAGTTTGTATGGTGAGTGGTCTTTCAGATCAGATGGTAAGAGTACGGCTCTGTCGGACTCTAAAGACCTGATTCGGTCCCCAGCGGGGCAGGCACAACGTATATGCTCTATTAATAAGGTAGTCGGATAGTCAAGTTGCAAGATTTCCACCTTGATACCCACGACAACCTTCCCATATGAGGGTTTTTGCACGTCAACTACATCTGACGATGCCTTAGATTCAGCCGTGCAGGGCTTTTTTGCCTCTGGTTTTGGTGAATCATCACTTGAGCGCAAAAGTTTGCTAACCTGCTCATGGGGGGTTAGTTCCCCCACCTAAGACAGATTCTGCGTACGCCGCACATCTCGCTCCTGATCTAAACTTACAGGAAGGTGTTAAAGTATCTTACGTATCTTATAATATTTTTTTTATACACACAAGCTAACGGCAGCTCTTCGTCTGACGGCACTGGGTCATGAGTTCAAACTACATAAAACAATATTATTATTATCATTACGTTACCTTTTATTTTTTTGATGGTCAATTGCCACGGAGCGCCACTGAAGTTTTTGGTGTTATGGAACTCAGAAACCTTTTGAGTATTGACAGAAAGTATTGAAATAAAAGTTTAAAATACCCAATTGAATTTTAATAATCCAAATACATGATATACAATTAGATGAGTATATACAATAAATAACGAAGTAACTATATATACATTTTTTATAGTGATCAGTTTTTAAATTGTTCGATTTCAAACCGATTTGATGATACCACCTTATATCATTAATGTAATATAATGAAAATAGGAAAATGATAATTTTCAATCAGATGATACTCATATATAAAATAACTTCAGAACATACTTTGAAGTAGGTGAAACTGACCTCAATAATCTTCACAAGGTAGTGGTGACATTCAAGTGGATATAATGTTTTTCGTTCATCTGAATGGAAACAGACGAAAATAAAGAATCAGGAATGATCAAAATGAACCGGACTTGTCAACATATGGGCTCAAAACCAAATGGGATCAGCAACTGAGTATCTCACCGACTGAGGAGTGTTCAGCAAAACGAAGATCCATCAAAATCTGCTGCCTTTCGCATTGAAAAAAAATGGAAACTTGGGAACCAGGAAGCTCCAAAAGTACGTCCCAAAACAAAGACCCTGTGAAATAGGTACATTTTACTACCCATTTCATGTTTATTATTTTGCATGAACGGAAGGAATTTAAAATTGTCGTTCCGATATAGAACAGTTTTTCTTAAAACAGTTTTTTTTACATACCTCTTGACTCCAGAGGAATTTCAAACCACGATAGGTCTTCAAACAAATAAATGGATGGAATACTGCCTGTACATGATAGACATATCATCAAACACCAAAATGATCCTCTCAACAGATACTGCACGACTTTTCATTTTTCCACAATCTAATAAAAATGGCAATCTTCAAAACTTTTTTTTTGTGGAACAAAAAACTAACTTGAACTCTGAAACCTTCGGCTTTAGTTGAAACTTTGCCCAACGTACAGAAGTGTAATATCCATCTCTCTTCAATACATGTCAGAATGAGTACAGAATAAGTACAAGGTTATAAACAATTAAAGGTCGCACCATGAACATTGGATGAACGGGATTGGATGATTTCATACTGACGCAAGAGCAGAGGACAATATCGAAACGTTAACTAGATTGGGTCAACCTTGAAGGTAAATAACCTGTGATTCAAATGTAAAAAATGAACACCACTCCGGAAAGATTACTTGAGATTCAGTAAGATAATGAACATCAAATGTTACGATTATCACAACAATACAAAGAAATAAACAATAATATTAATGGTATAATACATCAGGTGAGTGAGATAGTATAGCACTATACAAATTCATCAAATGAAGGTAATTACGATTGAATTATAAAATTATTTCTTTTCATTACAGAAAATGGTTTAGATTCTGCATATGAGATACAGAAAGCTAAATTTATGTGTACTTCCAGGAGACAACAGGTAAGCTCTAGAATATCATTTAATTGAAGAATTGATAAATTATTTTGGTCTTATTTTAGGTTATCACAACACTGTACTACTGGGAAGTAGATTCATCAAGGAAAACAGTGACACTGTATCAATTCACAAATAAAGCTTTAAATTTTATGCTGTTGAATTTCATCTCATGGTATTGAATATTTCACATATCAAGAAAAGAAAACAAATAGCATTTCATTTTTATGTTATTTCAAATTTAAATACTACAATATGTCAACAAACAACAGAGAAAGCATTATAAAAAACATATGATATTGACAGGATTGCAACACATTTTTGGGAATTTTAATAATGAATCACTAGGACATGTGTTTGTATGTACACGTAATATTATAGTGAACATTAAGAACCAAACAAATAACAAAAAAAAAACTCCAGACCGAAGGCACCAACCAGTATATAAAAAAAAGATTTAGAGCTACTTCATCAAGTACCAATAAATAGTGCCAGTATTTGCATCTGTAAAGACAAGTCATATGTAGGCGAACGAAAACGATAATATATTATTCTCTGGGAAATTTGATATGAAAAGGAGATTAGTACTCTTGACCATACTTTTCTTTTGAAACAAATAATGAGAGATAAGATAACTACAAATCATGAAAGTTCTGAAGACCAGAGAGAGAAAGTAAAGACAGGCTTTGAGGGTCTATACCATACAAAAGATATAACATTGCTATGATCTCCTTTGTGAAATCACTTCTTTTGCATTTTTTTTTGTAGAAATTTCTGATTGGGTAAAGTTCTGTCTGAAACACCCTGATATCCCGTGATTTACATGAAACCCATCAATTCCTTTTCCAGACGAAATATTCTAATTTACTTTTAATATACACATAAAGTACTCCGTAGACACACAGAGAAAGCAGTAAATATGCAAAGTCAAATTTGTAATCTGCTTCCATCCAAAAATAGCCATAAAATTACGATACAATTTGCCATATCTTGGTAGCGCCGGAAGTGGCTAGAGAGACATAAACGAAAGTGGAACGAGAATCCGCCCTTCTTGTTATGCAAATTGTATCGTAGTCCAACTTTTAAAACACTCTTTAAGCCGCCGAGTAATCATGCAAATTTCACCGTGTACTTTTATTATAATTGCGTTTTTCATTACAGCACAGCAGTTGTACTACAAGGCGGTACACGAGTTCGAAAAGTTGTTTTTGAATGTGATTCAACTCGCAATATTTTTTTAATTAATAGCAAGGTTATTGATGGAAAATATTCATTATATTCTCGAAAATACTACAACTGAAACTTTCCCCACCACACAACCTACATTTTGATCATTCATCACTGTATCAGAACCAGTTCTTTTCAAATGTTCAATTCTATGAAAGAAAAATACAAATGTACGCACATGGGAGAAAACTCAATGATCCTGAATGTTAGACCGAATTTGGAGTTCCATCAACAGTTGGTATGTCACTTTTTCTGAGGCGATACTTTCTTGTAGCCACACGAGAAGGATATTCGATGAAAGAAACTTGGCAAGTATAGACAATTGGAAATCAAAAGGAAACTTTTGATTTTTTTCAATGGGAACTCATTTATATAGCATATTTCATTGACCGCTTCTTTATTTGAATTCAAATAAAACACAAGTGTGTGTGAGATATCATTGAAATTCTTCATTCGTTTGAAAAACCTATTGATGTCATTATGTTTTGGAATATAACATCGTTCAAATGTCCGTCACAGCTTCTCTGGGTGGAGCGTATTCGAAATGTTCAATATTCTATGACTCTGGAGCATAAATCAGGCTGAATTTGACCGATAGCATAAGTTATGTAGGCTTCGAGGTCCGCTGCGGTTTGTAGCTCATTCGCCTACACCTGCGGCTTGAGAACACCCCACAAGTAAAAGTCTAACAGAGTCAAATCGCACGACCTCGGGGCCCGCTTCACATCACCTCCACGTGGGATGGCCCTACCCTCAAATCGATCGTGTAGAATATCCATTGAGGCATGAGCGGTGTGGTTCTGTTGAAACATGTCCGTGGTGTGCAAATAATCCAATTCAGGCAAAAAAAGTTGGTAATCATCGACTAACAATACTCGTTATGACTGTGATGGCCTAGCCAACACTGTTCCCAAAGAAATATGGACCAATGACGCCGCCAGCCGAAAATCTACACCAAACAGTGACTTTTTTGGGATGCATTGGACGCTTTTGGATCTCATGTGGTTTGGTATCGTCCCTAATTCGACAATTTTCTTTGTTCACGACTCATTCATCCAAAAATGAGACTCATCGCTGAAGATGATTTTTCGATGAAAATTAGGATCAGTTACCAACTGCTCCAGAGCCCATTTAGCAAACACACGTCGTTGTATTTGGTCTTTTACCTTCAGTTCAATACAGACTGCCTTAGATTCTCTTGCACACTCTCACAGAAAGCGGTGATATTTTCTAGAGATCCTGCGGTTCGTTGACATACGATTGTTGCTCGTTCACTGAACTGATGGACTCAAATTTTCGATAGGATGATTATGGCGATCGTAAAATGGGCGAAACGCGCGATATGTAATATGATAATACGTGTTTTCGAATGATTTTTCCGTCTACAGTGATTTCTTGAAGCACACTGAATGAATGACAACTAATTTGACAAATGTAGCTTCAACAAGACGGTCGTAATCCATTGGTGAAGTTCGGAAGTCCCTATTGAAAGACTCTATATGTAGAGCTTCGGGAAGTTTTTATCACTATTTCACAAGAATACCTTTCTCCAACCGAGTACGTTTGGCAAAGGTATACATCTGAGTGATTTTACTGAACTATGATGCCGCTTTAGTTAAGTGTACAGGTATGTCAGTTAAACACTCTTCAATTGGAAATCTAAATGAAAGTAACTTTTCCAAAAGACTTAGAAAATTGTATTTATCCTAGTTCTTCAACACGAACATCTGGTGGATGTTTTTCAATATCGGTCTTGGTATCAGCTATGTTTGTAGAGTAACGGATAAACATTTTTATCAAAAAATTTTATTTGAACTGAAAATACAAAAATTAAAAAAACACCTACATCCATAGTAACAAAGTATGTAAAGTTATTATAGTGCATGAGAGTATTTACAGTGACAATACTTCATTATTTTTCAAAGACTTTTACAAACAATCGGAGTAACAATCCTTCTTAAATAATGGTGTCGAAAATGAATTCATAATGGAAAGTAAACCTGCGAATATCTCATCAATTCTCGATGAAACCATAAAAAAAGACTCTATTCCAGAATTAATTACGCAATTTTAATTAGTTTGTGCTCCTCCGAACGTTCTGATGAATCTGTAACGACGACAAAGTTCATTATAAATACGCGACACTTGAACTTCCTCTTCCCTTGTGTTAACTACCTCTGAAATACACCTAAGTTATAATTAAATCCACTGATACCTCACCCATAATTTATAGTAAGAGTCTGCAATGTATACAGAAATCCCAGAATGAATAATAGCCTCGCACGCAAATCATGTTAACAAATTAACATCATTAGAAGTTGGAATGCTGTTGTTGGGTCCCACCGGCAGAGTTTCTTGTTGTCTTGAACATTTAAATGTAAAAGGGAGAAGTGTGGTCACCTTCGAAACAATCCATGTTCCAGAATATTCAATAGATATATTCACCAGAGTTCCAGTTTCAGTGTCTCTGGATACAAATATGGAATTAAATTTCAATTGATATTTATCGTACATCATACAAGATGATTAGGAAAGAGGAAAATCAAAATTTACTGAAAGGATTTGGTTTCATAATTGAATAGAACTGACAGATACTTGATGAAAATCCATAATGAAACTAATCAATATAGTTCATTGTATGTTTTTCACTATCAAGGGTTACTGCAAAACATATGTCGAGGTTTTTGCAAAACCCTTTATAGTCAAAATCATACAATAAATTCCATTAATCAGTTTGACTTTCTTATCAGTTAGTGGGCTATGCTGGAAGACACGCAGTAAACAAATCTAAAGAAATAAACTTTAAATGTTCAAGACAGTCCCGGATATACTTACACAAAGACTGGCTTGAACGTTTAAAGTTCATTTCTTTAGATTGGTTTACTGCCTGTCTTCAAGCATAGCTCACTGACTAATAAGAAAGTTTTAATTCCTTATTCAGAGTAATCGGGCAAATTTCGGATATGCAGTTGGTTAGTACCTCGTTCACTAGATGAAATGACATTTTTGTTGTTCGCTCCAACTTAAGACGAGGAATGAAATACTCTAAAAGAATTTCGATTTTCAATTATATAATATCATTGACTTCAGGTCGATGATGGCCACTATCTTGTACTGACGAGTGGCTAAGGAGCCCGAAACCGGTCTACAAGTGTGCCCGTTCCAAAATTGAAGGTCGACTTTTTCAGTTGTTTCGCCAATTGCATATGCAGGAAATTTTCTGTGAAGATTCCTGTACTGACGCCTGTCGGATATAATCGAACGCCGTTCGTGGTATTAGCCAGGGGAATAGTTGTTTTCTGATAGGCATCAGTCCATCCAACATACTATGTAGGTATATCCGAGACTGGCTTGAAAATTTAAAGTTCATTTCTTTAGATTTAATTAGTTTGATTTGGTTTCGAACAGAACAAGTGAAAACGGAACTTTCTCAATCTAGAATTCCTTTTTTACGGGCTGAAATTTCGTATATAGGTGAGTTTTATGTTGTAGGTGTTCAATAAGAAAGGATTTCCAAATATTGGAAGTGGGTTCCCTCAGCTGTTTTGTGGGTAAATCCATTCGCATTTGAAATATTTCAATTTCATTGAAGATGTTTTGCCAAATTTGAAAACCAAACGAAATAAATTGAAAACATTCTAGTGCTCTGTTGGTTATTGAAAACTTCTGCAGAGCATACGATTGATTTATTTACTCTATTTATGATATTCAGTTTCCTCAGTTCGTGGGACGATCCACGTAATACATCACAATTTCTAGAAATATGATTATGAAGTAATAATCTTTCATTCTAGAATATGTCTTTCAATTATTCTCAAGGAACTTTATATTTTATCGTAAACAATTTAACAGAATCAATAACTTGTTTTACTTTACATC